ACCCCACACCGCTTGTGCGGATACGACTACTGATCGGCATCGGGGTGCATCGCCGCCAATCCATGTAGTCGTGGCTGCAAACAACCAGTTTGCCCTCAAAGTCATGTTGACGGGCCATGCTTCTAGCCCTGAAAATCGTGATATCCCCAAATTTGCTGCTCTTTCTGAACACTGGATCGTGGACTCAGGCGCCACAAGCTCGTGCACCCCGTACCAGGATTATTTTTCCTCCTATGTGCCTTGCGCGCTATCGCTTACTGGGAGATGCAGGAACTGAACGAAAATACGAAAACACACTGATTTGATTACACATCAAACAATGGCTCGCCATGGTCAAGGCATATTTGTGTGAGATTTGCAACTGCACGAAAACACTGGGGGTGGAGTTGACGGCTGTGTCGAAATACACCAGAGAGCACATTGAACTGCTTCATACGCTTGTTGACAGTTTCATGCCTCGCCATAATGTCTTTGTGTCGTTGGGGATTCCTAAGGAACCCCGACGGATACACAAAAAATCTGTCATCACGGTACCCTTTGTCAGCGTACGCTTTTTCGCCATGACGTAATTTCCCCACAAAAACCTCACGAGCCAGTCGCAAGCCTGGCCACGCCCCACACAGAACACCCCCGTTGACCCACACAATACACCCCGTTCGTATGCAAGCACCAATTTCGTAGCGTAGTCCAGGTCCTTTGAACTTGTGGGAGAACCATTTCTTGTCGAACGGCGTTGGCTCGTATATCTTGCAATCCACACCGTCCAGTGACCCAAATACATTGTCCAAGCGTGTGCTTCGTTCCAATCGACGAGCCCAATTGATCTAGGGTAGTAACGATTTAGTTGAAGTGAGGTGAACCAAATACCATCGGCATCTCAGCAATAAGCTGAATCCAAATCCACGCCCACTTCCGAAATGTTTTTTCGTCGACGCCTGATATGCTATGGTTCACCGCATCTGCTCCATACACTTTTAGCAGCAAAAGTGCCCAAAGTAGGTGCTCGTATCGTGTTCCAAGTGGGCGAGGCATCACTGAACGCCAAGCGATAGCCGCACCTTGAGGTGATACGCCGAAGTGTGATCGAAACCTCCGGTGACTCGTGGCGGCGGACACACTGGTACTGATCATGCCACAACCAACGCGCCAAATCGAATCGATAACATCCATCGGGCTGAACGAAATGCGCTGATTTTGAAAATGTGCGCGAGAGTTTCCACAATAATCAGGTTTTGAATAGTATTATTCTATGTTTTGTATGCTGAGTGCGTATTTTTATTCAATTTCTGCTTTCGTATTATTTTGAAGTTATGTGATAATAATATACCTCCTGCATGCGCACATGTGCGCACAAGTGCAAAATGGACTGCGCAGGTCGCCAAGTTCTTGATGTAGGCTCAACGATGTGACATAGTACGTTGCTCACGTCTTAGTGGCAGCCTATTCTACAATGTACGAAGATTATATGACGTAAGACTCCTTTGTCTTCGAGAAATACGCCATCAAACTTGCTATATTTGCCGAGATTGAACAAATGTACGTACATGAGGGCATGATGCCTACAGTCTAAAGAGCTGAGTCCTCCTGCATTCAACACAAGCAGACTGACCAGTCCATCTGCTTGTCTTTCGCATGTGCTACATTCCCCCATGTACAACATAACCAGAGATATCCGAGTTCAAAGTTCGCCCAATTTCCACATTTGCGCATTTCCACATGCGGCCTGAGTAACACAAATATGCACATGCAGAATATTATTACAATGACCGGATAAATGCCTTGTATCCGGAAACTATTCACCCGCGCAATTTTCAATTTTCAGCAGCGACGGCATGCAGCGTTCCAAGAAGAAGGTAGTCAAGACACCCGCAAAGCGACGTCTCCGCAATTGGACAACAAGTCCACCGTGCGAGGCCCAACTCTTACTTAATGACATCATACAACGAGCAAACGTGAAGTCGGCTACAGACCTGTGGAACGAGATCCCCCTCTTCCAAGAGTACAGTGTCTCGGTGTTTCGCAATCACTATCGTGAATCCATGATGAGACAAGGAGCTTACTGTACGTATCTTAATGCATATAGCACCTAATGTTTCATTTAGTCATCGAAGAGCAGCCAACATGCATCGAACCAAACGATGGTGACGACTGCGATCATACGACTGAGTCTCACCAAGGTAGCCAAGAATTGGCCATCACGGTAATCAACCCACCTAGCCTGGTTTATCAATACCGAAACGAAGACACGAGACACTGCCACGTCCGAATCATCCTGGCAATTTACCGCGACACCTCTTCAGTTGTTGTCAACGTTGATGATAACTTGAGAGGTGTCAACGTTGAATTTGCCTGGCCGACGGATTGTTTTGACGTTGACCGCGCATTTGAGAAGAAGACAGAAAACCCCCAACTGTTCAAATACCTGCCGGAAGTCAGAGGCTTCAAGGATCGTCTGGAGCAGCTGTCGTTTGTTGAAAACGGTCAAGTGCTTCCTCCAAAAGGTTGTATTTACGTCGTACTCTCCCTAACGAGGTTATCAAGGAAACAATGCGCCTCGACCACACCGACGGACAAGGCCTTTTGATGATTGACTTCAACGAGCGGGACGTGCGTAATGTGTCATGCAGCGTTTGGGCGCCTCAGACAGTATGAGTGTCGTCAGGATAAGCAATAGTAATCAATGGTTGTTTCGCTTTGCTTTGGTTCACCGAGGATTATACGAGATTAACATAATTTCTATTCATATGCATGGTCTCTAATATCGTATTTTCGTTCAGTTCCTGCATCTCCCTGTTGGCAACGGGTCAAAGCTCCCCGTAATTGGATATGGCTCCATTTCTATGGAAACGCTCATGTCTGCCACCGATGT